AACACTGGCAGCACAGGGTTAGTTTTCTTCTGAAAAAGATGAGTCTGGATGGTCACCAAGACCTTGGTGCCCTCAGCTGCTCTTTGAGGAGATAAATGGTGGTCTGTGGGTGGAAATTTGGAGGAGGAAATTTGTTGGAATTTACTGTTTAGGGTGGTGGGGTGGAAAGGCCTTGGGCTTCCTAATTCAAGGATCTGAGTGTCAGGGAGCAGGGACAGGAGAGGCAGAAGCTTTGGAGCTGTCTTACACCATCCCATGGGGCAAGGATGTGGGGACAGGACCCTGTTTCTCACAGGAAGAGAAAAGCGGAGCCAGTCCCCCACAGGGATATGCATCAACAAGTAGATGCGGGGAAAGATGCTGGGGTGGGTGAGGGTATGGGCAGCCTGCTGCTCTTGAGGGGCCGTGGGGAAGGCTCGGGGGTGCGTGGTGCGAGAACAGCCCCCTCTGCAGCGGGGCTGAAGCGGGTGAAGGGTTGGGGGGGGGTCCCTCGTGGCAGCGCGGCGCGGCAGGGGTTAATGTGCGTGTCCTCCTGCGCATCCCGCCCCGCTGCCGCCCGCCCGCCCGCCCGTGTGCGGGGCTCGGGCCGTGCGGGAGCCGAGGCGCCGGGCAGCGCTGGAGCCGCTGCCATGACAACCCCGGGGATGCTGCCGGCCGGGGCCGGGGTGCTGCCGCCGCCGCCCCCCCGCGCCCCCCCCGCCCGCCGCTGAGGCCAGCCAGGGGCTCCGGCAGCCTGACATCCCCGCATTCTGCATCCCACCGTCCGCTCATCCCCATCCTGCATCCCGGCATCCTGGACCAGCCCCCCGGCAGCGGGGCGGGAGGAGAGGAGCTGCAGGGCATCCCGAAGGCTTTTGCCGGCTGTGCCTTCTTGCGCCTGGACACCTTTGCTAGCTCGCCTCGGGGGTGTTTTTTGGGGTTTTTACTGGTTTTTGGACTGCCCCCGCCTCGGGACAAGCGTGCGGGAGTGGGGTACAGCCGGGCCCCCCCGGCACCTCCTCGCCCAAGTGAGCCTCGGACTGCTGCCCGAAGAACCGGCTCGCCCAGCACCTTTGCCACTTCTCCTCCTCCTCTTCCTCCTCCTCCCCCCGGCCCTCCCGTCCTCCTCCCTCGCCCGAGGACAGCGGGACTCCCTCCGATGCCGCTCGGCAGGCTCAGCGCTCGCAGCCAGCCTTGCCGGGGGCTCTCCTGATCTCCGTGGAGCTCCGCAGCGCTCGCCCCGGTGGTTTTGCTCCCCCCCATCCCTCCTCTCCACCCACCCCTTCCCCCTTTTCGCCTTGTCGGGTGTGTTTTTTGCCTGTTGGAAAAGTCCCCGCTGCCCAGGATGGGGGTCGGTGGGTGCTTGGCCCTGCCCTGGAGGTGCCTGGTCGTCCTCTGTCTCAGGCTGCTCTTCCTTGTGCCCGCAGGAGTGCCCGTGCGCAGCGGAGATGCCACCTTCCCCAAAGCCATGGACAACGTGACAGTGCGGCAAGGGGAGAGCGCCACGCTCAGGTAGGAGCAGCTGGACGGGGGCTTTGGGAGGACGGGGGGGTCCTGCTTGCGGCTTTTGGGGGATGCTCTGCGCCCGGCGGGGCTGCCGGAGGGTCCTGGGACCAGCTGGAGACTTTGCACGTGTCCCAGGGGCTTGTCCCCATGGTGGCAGGGGACACTGTGGATGGCAGCTTGTCGCCGTCGTGGTGGGGTGACCCCGTTGGAGCGGTTTTGGAGGGACGGATGCGCCGGTGCTTTTCGGGCTGCAGCGCGGGGCTGGCAACCTCCTGGGGGGGCTGCGGGTGCCAGACGAGGAGACGACACAGGGGTTTAGGTGGCAGACAGTGAGTTAGTGCTGCCTGACACTCCCAAAGTTGTCCCTGTGTGGGAGGGGAGAGGGGTCCGTGCTCCTGGCAGCGGTGCCAGCCTGCGCTGCCAGCGGCTTTCCAGGGCTGCGATGCCTCCGAGGTGTCAGCGTTTGCCTCAATCACTTTATAGTCTCCGCACGAATCCGTTAATATCAAATCAATCTTTTACTCCAGGGGTGCATCTTATGAATTCTGATGGATGCTTTCCCGTACGTTGTTTGCTGTAGGAGAAACACAGGCGGCTGATATGCAGATGGGTCACTCCTGTGCCGCACAGCACAGCCGAGCATCCCTTTCATTCCCTGGATGAGTTACAGGTGTACGCGGTGCATTGCCCAGGTAGCACAGCAGCTCTCCCCAGGCTTTGCAGCAGCCGGACCAGACGAGCAGGGAGCAGCCCGGCCTTTTTTTTGGAGGGCAGTGGGGAGGCAGCGCGTGGCTGGGGTTTTGGGTCGTGCTGTGCTTGCTTCAGGCAGCCCCGGGAGGACCTGGGCCGGTTAATCCGGGAGCTGTGGGACTTGGGGAGGGAGCTCGGGGATGGTGGGACGTGAGCGTGGAGCAAGAGAGCCCGGAGGAGTTTGTCTGCTCTCCCTGCACCAGCGAGCAGCGTGTGCCCCTCACCCGAGGCTGGCTGCTCCCTCGCTCAGACCCCGAGGAGCAGGGCTGCAGCAGAGAGCAGCTGCTCTTCCCAAAGCCAGGTGTGGGGATGGCACAAGCAGAGCCTGTCACGCTTTCCGTGAGCAGCCGAGCCTGCACAGGGCTGAGGAGCTGCTGCTGCTGCTTTGAGCAGAGGGTGCTGTGCTCACCTGGGCAGGTTTCCGTGGCTGAGGTGGGATTTGTAGGGGGAAGAGTTTGGTGGTTATAGGAATCAGGCTCTGGCTGGAGGCTCTGTGCGTTCCCTGCCGTGGAGGGGGGTGTTGGTTGCCTGTCTGCCCTCTTCCCACCATGGCCACTGCCAGACTTTGCTGTCCCTTTTCCTTGGTCCCTGCCAGGGACCCGCTGGGACCCTCTTGTCATCACCCCGTGTGCCTGGGGCTGTGGCACAGCTGGAGAGCAGAGGGCTCTGTCTCCTTGTGCTCTTCCTAATTGAACTGCAATGATGATTAACCTGAGCTGTGTGAGCAAGGCAGTTAAAAGAAGGACAATCCCCCAGGGAGGTGCCTTTGGCCCTGGCGTTCTTTCCCTCGCTGTTGGAATTTGTCTCCATAGTGAAGTGTGGCCTTTGGGGCTCTCAGAGGTGATGCTGGTGGTGGTCAGAGCAGGATGGGTGCCTGTGCCTGCTCCCTGGGGAGCCCCTGCGAGTCCAGCTGAACCTGCTGCCAGCAGAGGGCTGACTTGGATCTCCTCTTTTTTTTTATTTAATTTATTTTTATTTATTACTTTATTATTATTTATTAATTTATTATTTTTATTTCTAAGCTTCTCTCCCCTTTTCAGTGCTGTTTGCAGGAGGGGATGTTTGTGAAGCAGCCCAGGAATGGTGGGAGATTTTAGCATTTCCATAAGAAACTCTGCTTTCCCCAAATGCTGACACTTAGGGGAAGCCCCTACACCAAAAGCACCTGGTTTTATCAGTTTCCCCCCTTGGCATCTGCTCCTGCCCAGGCTCTCCAGTGCATCTTTTCCACGCTCTTACCCCCTCCCTTCTCCTCAAGTCCAGTTTTCCCCTGCTGCAGGCAGGTTTCTGCCTCCAGCTCCCATTTGCTCCATCTTTCCTTGCACTGATGTTCCGCAGTGGTCTTTCTCTTCACTCCTCTCCCTGTTTCCCTGCTGCTGCCCCTCTGCAGCCCCTGGGTGGCAAGCAGTTTTCCATCTTCCCATGGGATCTGGAGATGGGCAGGGAATTGCACACAGCAAGCCAAAGGGGTGGCATCAGTGGGGGGTTGAAAGCAGTAGGACAAAGGTGGAGCATCTTGAGGATAGGGCTGATGTTTATTTGCAGGTTGTGCTTTCCTGTGAAGAGCCAGGCAGGGAGAAGTGCCCTGGGAAGTCTTTCCCAGTGAGTGGTGCTATTGCTAAGTGGTGTTTTCTCCTGTGCACCTGTAGGAAGAGGTGGTGGTGTCCTCTTCTGTCCTCCCCACAGATGGCACTTGGGTCTCAAACCAAGGAGCTGGGCTTGGGAAAACTGAGAGCTTTAACTCCAGTGTGTAGATCTTGCAGGATCAGCCCCAGTCTGGATGGCCAGGTCCTCTCCCTCATCCTGGTCGTGAGATGGGCTGAGCCTGCACATCTCCCTGGCTCCTGCAGGGTTGGTGGAAGCTCTTTGCTTTCCAAGATAAGTCCTTTAACCACCCCTTGAGTTGCAGAAAGGAGCTGGGAGAGCGAGCAGACCTGCATGAAAGTGGTGGAGGAAACCTGGAGGCTTTTCTTAAAAGTCTTAAGTCTGTGCCAAGGGAAATATAGGTTGGATATCAGGAAAAAGTGTTTTACAGAAAGGGTGATAAAGTATTGGAATGGTCTGCCTGGGGAGGTGGTGGAGTCACCATCCCTGGATGTGTTTAAGAAAGACTGGATGTGGCACTCGGTGCCATGGTTTAGTTGTGGTGTTAGAGCTGGGTTGGACTTGATGATCTTGGAGGTCTCTTCCAACCTGGCTATTCTCTGAGTTGCAGGCTGCTTGTGAGTTTTCTGTATTGGATTTTGGGCGCTTCCATTTCCAGCTCTCCACCCTTTTTTCGAGGGAGGCTCAGCATAATCCTTGCAGAAACTCAGGCTCCATCTACAGGCAACTTGCAGGTCATCTTAGATCAGCAACAAATAATTTCCGTTTAAAGCAGAGATTGTTGGTAATTCATTCCTTTTTTTGTAAGAGCAAACAATTCCCATAATACTCAGGCACCTTTCCTCTCCCGGGAACTAAAGGCAGTATGGAAATTCTCTGTGTAGTGTTAAAAATAAAACCAAACCGCCTCTTCCCTGACTCAGGAACACAAAACTCAGGTGTTGAGATGGCAGGAGTAACTCGTATTACTCACCAGATTGGAACAAGGAGCACACTGGGAACCACCAGGGATGTTGGAGATGGTCACTTTTTAATCTCCAGCTGGGATTTGATGTGGACACAAGGATTAAGTTCCTGTTTTTGGGAAGAATGCCATTGAGTCTTGGCTTTCTCCACATGCTGCTCGTTGGATACTCATCCTAGGGTTGCTGTGGGGGCATCACTGACATGGTTGGCCAATCCCAATGGGTTGATCCTGCCTGGAAACTTTGGTTGGGTTTTATCTCAGCTGCACCACAGTGGTGGAAGCATCTCCATGAGCCGAAGGGGAGACTGTGGCAAATATTCCCACGGTGTTAAAATGGGGATGGAAACGGGATCATCCCGCTGTGCCGGCGGCAAACCGACCTTTACAGCAGCCATCAGTACAGTTCATAAAGACATAAACCACCAGCTGCTCAAAATTTCAAGGCTTTATAGTTTAATCTGTATCTAAGAAATATTGTTGGGTTTTTTTTTAAGGGAGAGAGTGCGTTTTAGAGGTTGAAGGGATTATCTGGGAGATGGGGTGTGCTGACTTTTCTCTGCAGGGACACCAGGACTTAAGGAGGCCCCTCTGTTGCTCTCATCCTCAGTTTCCCCATCTGTAAAATGACCCAAGAGCAGTGGTTTATCAGTGATGATTACAGGAATGGGTACTCATAGGCAGGTATAATTAGCCTTTTTTTCCAAACTAAATAATACAGAGCTGCTTTATCTCTGTATATAAGGGCAGAGTTTCAAGTCAAATCCCCTGGGCTTGTCTGCTTCTGGTGAACCCATGGCCTCTCCCACTGTCTGTCCATGAAGGAGACCAAGAAGTCAGGATAGCTTTGCTCATTCGCATCCAAGACTCCGTGCCTGGTTGTATTCTGTCAATTAGCGAGTGTGAGAACAATTCCAATTAAAAATAAAAAGCCCGAATAAAGCATCATGAGATGCTGTTCTTCCATTTATTTTTGCAATTATAGTTTTAATTATTTCTGACAATGCTGCTTTGATTCTTCTTTTTTTCTTTTGGTGTAATAACCTACCGCAGTCTATTTTCCAGCACACGACGAGACCTCAGTAAAACACAACCAGCAGGAGCAGGTGGCAGGACCACAGTCTCCAGGCATAGGTCTGGGAAGTCAGGAAATCAAATTTTTTTTGCCTCTTTTTTAGTCAAACCGCTGATATTCCATGTACCTACCTGTTAATGGGGGTTGTGACACTCACCTGCCGCCCTGCAACAGCAGCCACGGACCTGGCAGAGAAAAGAAGCGTTAATGCAGCCACGTCTCTGCTGTTAAATCCTTGCTGGGGAGCGGGAAGAGAGTCACCACTCTTTGTGTGAAAATGCTAAAAGCGTGGGGATTAGCACAGAGCAGATTAGTGAGGACTTGCTCCATTGCTGCCCCTTCCTTCCCCCCCTCTCCTACCCAAAAAGTTTTCTGGAGCAGCTAAATATATACCTGCCGTTTCCAAGGTAGAGCTCGCTGCGTGGCAGAGCTGTAATTGGCGACTCAGGGAAATTACAGCCACGGATTCTGGCATTTGGATCCTCCTGGCTGGCATAATAATTTCTCCCTAGGTAGCTGGTATTTAACTTGTCTTATCTGCTCCTGATAGTTGTAATTACAGTGCCCGCTAATTTCACTGTAATATTGCAGCCGCTGGAAGGGTGGTTGGAG